GTCCCAAAATTTGTGCATTTAAAAATTTGATTGCCTTTCTTTTGTTGAGTTGTAGGAGTTGTTAGTGAACAGAAATATAACTAATGTTTGTGTGTTGATTTTGTATTCCAATAATAATCCTTTATAGATACATAATTTACAAACACTTTCTCCCATTTTGTGGGTGGCAAGGATTGTTGGCCACCATCAGAAACAGGGTAAGACGAAGAAAGATTCAACCCACAGCCTCAGAGGGAACATGGCTGACACCTTGATTTCAGACTTCTAGCGTCTAGAACTATATTGTAGTAAGCCACCCAGTTTGTATTATTTTTAATGGCCTAGGAAACTAACGTATGTTCATTTTTTATACCTTTTATTTCTTTTTCTTGCCTCATTGGTCTGGTGAGAATGAACACAAATCCTTCTCAAACCCGTCCAACAAAATGAACAGGAGAGAACCCTTCTTAACTCATGCTACAAATCAGCATCATTCTCCTGTCAAAGTCAAATAAGAACATTGCAAGAAAAGAAAACTACAGACAAAAACCCTAGATGACTACTGATGTGAAAACTTCAACAAAATACTAGCAAACTGAATTCAGGAGGCTACTGAAAGGATTATGTACCATGACTAAATGGAATTTGCACTAGGAATGCAAGGATAGTTAAATCTATGGATATCAATCAACATACCACATTCATAGAAGAAAGGGAAAAATCATAATTACAATTATCTCCACTGATGCAGAAAAGGCATTTAATAAAATTCAACACCATTCAATGATAAAATACTCAATAAACTGAAATAGAAGAGAATTTCCTTAATGTGACAAAAGCTACGTATGAAAAAAATCCAACTAACATCATATTCAGTGGTGAAAGACCAAAAGCTGTTTCCCTAAGGTCAGGAAGAAGACAAGGATGCCTGCTCTTGCCATTTCTATTCAAAAAAGTATAGAATCTACTTTTTTTCAATGTTTCTGTGGAAGAGTGGGAGATGAGCACTGCTCACTCTGCCATTTTGCTGATGTTACTCGCAAACTCTAGAACTTTTATACTATCATCATATATAAAATAGTACTTACCAAATTTACATATATGCAAATTAAACAGTAGTGGAAAATAAAATTAATAGCTGAAATCAATTGAGTGCTTACTATTATCAGGCTGTATACTGAACCCCTTATTGCCTAATCTGCAATATTTTCAACAATGCCATGAGGTAGGTATTTTCCCCATCTTATAAAGGAATCAATGGTGACTCAGGGAGGTTAAACCATTTGCACAGTTTAACAGCTGGTAAGAAACAGAACAGAGCAGCTAATATAGTCTGACTAAAAAATTATACATTTAAATAGCATCCTTCTAACAGTCAGGGTTCCAACAAGTCCTCAGGATAAATTAAGGGATTTTAACTTACAGTGAGATTAATTACAACATTATGGAATGTAAGAGAACCATATAGCATGATGTAATAGCCCTGCAACTACCAAAAAGCACAGCTGTTGCCACCCCTAAAGCTAATGGGACCAGGGGCTGGAAAGTGAGTATAGAGAAGGTTTATTGTACAGAAGTGTTAACCTTTAGTAGAGGAACACTGTAAAACTGAGACAACTGTGAGGGGAGAAACCAGGGGGATAAATATCCTGACCTCCCTCCCTCCCAAAACTTGTCAGAGGTCCCCATTAGCTCAATAACTGGAAGCCAGAAGACATGGAAGTCTGCCATCTTGTGCAGAGAGCAGGGTGAAGAAGTGTGGAGAATGGATCTGCAATGGGAGGTAGGGTAAATAAAAGATATCTAGTACCATGGATACATAACAGAATTCTAGCAAATATGCTTTAAGTTGAGATGCCTCCAACTTAGAGGAGGGTGAGGGGAGAGGAAGCATTAGTAAAGTCATACAGATCTATACAGCAGACAAAAAGATGATGGAACAATACAAGCAAATGAATATCAAAAGTTCTCTTTAGCTCCAAGATGAGAAAAATTATTAAAAGTACATCTGTGGACAAAAGAATGTCATTAGCCATTTCAATAAACAAAGGATGTTGCAGCCATAAAACCATCAACCACTGATGGTGTACGGTGAAGGGAATTACAGATGGAGAAAAACAGGATACTGGCCCTAGATAGTTAAGATGCATATCAAAGGAATAATTTCAATAAGTCCAGACTCTTGCACCTTGCCACACATAGAAAGGTACTAAAATCATTAGTACCACTGAGATGTCTGGTTTTGTGATCAGCAGTAATCTTTTGATGTTTGACTATATTTTTTCTCCCCCTTAGCAAAAACTCTATATCCTGGCTCCTCCCTTCCCTCTTTGGAACATTCCCTAAGAGCTGAGAGGCTGTATCTCCAGCTTAAGTTCTCACTAAGTCTGCTGAATAAAACACAGTTCTCAAATTTTAGATTGTGCATTTTTTTAGTTGACACATCTCTATACAAATATTTAAAACTGTTCCTCAAAAATTACTTTCTGACATTGGATTGAAGCATTAATAGCTAAGCATACAATCTGTTCAGTCACTTATCTGCAAGTATGAATAATCATGTAGAGTCTGAGGAAGAAGGAACTACCATGATAGCATCTGGTTTCTGATAAGGAAGACACTGGCTAATTTGTTAGGAATGTGATGGCGCTTTATACCATTGTTATCATATATTCTTATTACTTCATCTAAATAGTCTTGCTTCCAGATTTCCTTCATTTGTTGAACTTTTAAATATATTCACACTGTGATACACACATTTCACAACATGACATGTGATCTATAGTTTATTATTTAATGAAAGAAATGAGTTACCCACTTATTTGTATATATATTTTGACCTTTATGATAAAGTAAACAGAATAAACATAAGTCTAGAGATTAATACAATGAGTGGGATGTTTGGAGGCATTTGACACATTGAAGAAGATTCAGTTATACAGGTCCACTAGATACCATCTTTCAAATGGTTAATGCTTTCTGAAAGTAGAGCCTTAAGCTTGTTAGCACTTAAGAGCATAATTGGGAGGAACTATTGTGATCCATGAAAAATTAGAACAAGTCTACTTTGAAAAAACAGGGCAAATGGCAGCATTCAGACTCAAAAGACTTACTTGCTCACTAACTTAAGAGTATGGCCTTACAGTCATATAGACCCATGTTTTAGTCCTGGCTTGGACACAAGCAAATTAGATAAACTGCAAATCTAAGTTTTCCTTGTACATAAAATGTATAAATAATGCCTCCCTCATAGAACTGTTATGAAGAATAAGAAGAGATAACATATAAAAGTACTTGTCACAGTGCCAAGCACGCAATCACCAGTCAGTAATTGGGATGATTATCACTGTGGACATTTCTTCCTGAAAGTTTCCTTGGCAATCCAGTGGTTAAGACTCTGTGCTTTCACTGTAGGAGATGTGAGTTATACCCCTGGTCAGGGAACTAAGATTCTGCATGCCTCATGGTGCAGCCAAAATATAAAATTTTTTTAAAAAGTCCAGCTCATTTGGAGTAATAAAAAACAATTCTTCCTAAGGCTGTGTATTATGTGCAACCCAGAAATATGTGATTCTGAATACTATTTCTGTGAGTTGAATGTATTGATATGCATTGTAATGGAAAATGGACATTTTTAATTGGAGTGATATGGCAATATGGATTAATGTAGCAGCAGCAATATTGGGTAATAGTAGTAATAATAATAATAAAAACCAATTTACATAAAAATAATTGAGATACCAAGGCTTCAGTTCTAAAATGTTCTCAGATACTTATTAAAATTGCACATATAGCCATTTATTATACTGACTTTCTCTGAAATAGGTATATTTAGATTCCCTATCAGGTACTAGATACAGTGACATAAAAGAAAGATGAGTAATTTAAGACTTATATAGCTATTATCCACCCAGATATTTCTTTAGTTTGGTCAATTAAGCTTTTTTTTTTTTTAACCAAGGATGACTTTAATTTAGTGTCAAAAGCCAATACTTCTGAAACAAGATTATTAGATGCTTAAAACAGCCTATGACAACAGTCTTAAAGTTCTCACTTGACTACATTTCCATAGATATCCTTTCTGGGTTATTCAGTTTATTTACATAAGCTATCTTCAGGGAGCAAACTATCTCTGCTACTTTTTCAGGAGCAGATTCTTCTGTCCTTTTAGAAAAAGGGCCTGTCCTGGTTCAATGTTGCCTACATCTAGATATGTCATTTTAAAAACAGCTTTATAGAGCTCTGATCGACATACAATAACTTATACATATTCAAAGTGTACATTTTAATGTTTGACTAAGGGATTTGTAAATAAGTACATTTGGCTCTCATAGTCCATGTAGCCTCTAACTTGTCTTTTATGAAAAATAAAGGCTGATGTTTGGTAGAAACCAACATGATACTGTAAAGCACGTATCCTTCAATTAAAAAAAAATAAATTAAAAACAATAAAGGTGAAGTTTTTGACATTCAGAAACTACTCTGTTTCATGTTTCAAAAATTTTAAGAACATAGCCAGAAGAGAGCAAAGCCATTTTACTGTTTCATATACTCCTCAATTGCTGCAAGTTGATCTCCTTCCCAAATTCTCTGTTACCATAAAGCTTTGAGCCTGTAAGAAACAAAACCCACAAATCCAACAAATTCCATCATGATCAGCTTTCAGAACCACCAATCAAGTCCCACTGTTTTTCTCCAATGAAAGGAACTGAATTTACTTCTTGTAATTTCAGAAAACAGTTAAAAAACAAAACATCAAAACCAAAATAAAACATAGTAGGCTATCATTTGAAGTTTCCTAAGCTTAGCATTGATCCTAATGCTGTACAGTGAGGAAAACAAGCTTGAATTCTTTTACGGGGAAAAGGTAGACAATCTTCTTGATGTAAGAATATAGACAGATATTCAAAGCTCATTTGATTTGCAACCAGCTCCTGAAGAAATGACATTTAGACAACCTGCTGCAGTCGGCAGGAAGTAACTCATCATGAGGTCCACACGACATTTCTGCGTGCACTCACCTCTGCTGCGTGCTTTGCTACATTCCCCACGATGACAATGACTTTCCCTTTGAAGCTCTGGAGCGTGGCAGTGCAAGGTCCCTGGGTAAGCTCCCCTTCAGGAGTGAATGCAGTGCTGAATGGAATGTTGATGCTGCCTGAAATGTGACCCCGAACAAAACTGAGAAAAAAGGTTAAGGGAAACATTTATTTGTGTGCAGATCTGAATGTGTGAGAGAGCTCACAGGGAATTAATTCTCAGAAGAGAGTACCATTAAAATCAAACAGAAATGGAGAGAAGACTTGAAAATCCCCTGAACAGACAAAACCAGTTTAGTCATACAAGCAAAGATTAATTTAGCTTGTTTTGCAAGACAAGCGAGGCTAACTTGACCTGGGTCACTTCTTGTTTATGCCTCTGAAAATCGTAAGTGAAACTTAAACTGTCTCCCTAAATTGATGTTTGATGCTCACTAACCATTTCCCTTTTATTTAAGAAAATTCTAATATTGTAACCAGTCACTGAAAAATAGTCACTGCTGCTTTTTAACAATATACCTCTGAGCCTTACTCCATGTTTTGGCTCAACTGCTCCTGGTTTGCAAACTGTCTTTTGGTGTGTATATAATAAACTTTTATTAATTACTACTTTATTAATTAACTTTTATTAATTACTACTTTAGTTATTCATTAGTTTCACTTCTTTTTTTCCCCTGAACTTCTGACAGAAAGGAAAAAGATTAGCCAAAGGGGGAATGAGACTTTCTTGATTAAACGAAATATTGTGAAGGTGATCAGAATGCAGCAAATCAATGGCAATCACATAGGTTGTACAACATTCATGGCTTTCAATTCATTATTACTATTATTACTACTATTGTGATTATTTTAAAGCTCTATTACAAAAGAGTGCAATTAAAAAGAGGACTCTTCCTATAGAGTTTATAGAAAAAGATATTATTATATCAGTCACTTTTTTAAAAAGCATAAATTAACAACTACAAAAACTGCTCTGAAAGAGATGTATATGATACTTTGATAGGGCCTGTCAATTTGAGGAGGACAGGGAAGGTTTCCACTAAGGAAATAAGTGATGGCTGAAGTAAAATTTGAATAATTAATAAAAGTTAGGCAACAGAATAGAATACAGGTGGTATAGGGTGGTGGAAGGGACAAACATTTCAGGCAGAAATGTGAGGTGTGTACTGGGGAGGCACATGACCAATCAAGAGAAAGGAAGGAAGGCCGGTATAGTAGAATGCAGAGAGCAAAGATAGCATACTAGCCTGGAAATGAATGCAGAGGCCAGATCATAAGGCACCTTGCAGATCATGTTGTTAAAATTGGTCTTTCTCCTAGAGCAATGAAAATCAGGAAGTATTTTAAGCAGATGAGTAACAGGTCACATCTGCACTTTGGCAACAAGCTGGAGAAAGGCTAGAAGGAGAATGAATGTGAAGGTTAGCTTGTGAGACGTCTGTCTAGGCTGTATCTTGTCTCTTCCTTATAATCACTGATGATGATCATGAAGAGATGTTTATGTTCAATAGAAGCATCTCCCCCTAAACTTCCAATTTAGATATGTGCTTTACAAAATAGAAAAGTTACAGCATTTTAAAAGGTTATATCACAAGCAATGAATATCTGCCCCCCAAAAAAAACTAATCAGTCATTGCTGCAGAATGGCAAAAGTTATAATTATTTATTGACATGTCAATTTCTCTACTGCCCCAGTTTGTGGGTTCATCTTTAGGGTATTACTTCTCTCTGTTTCTGTCAATCTCTCTTTTTCCCTCATTAACACAGAGAGGAGAAATTTGAGGCTCCTACTCTCAAGACAGATGGTGGAGGTTGAACACATATCTTAAACTTCTAGTCAGCTGTTATTTCATTTTTTTTTAAAGAGAAGCATTTGGCACTAATAATGAGGGAAAGGATGTAAAAAGTTCTGGAAAATGAAGTGAGAAATAGAATAGATATCATTCCAGGTACACTGTTTAGTTAGAATATTCTAGAATGAACAGAGAATTTATGATCATAGGCAGATCACCCTTCAATTTCATCAGCTCTAGTTTTTTGAACATTTACAATGACTCAGTATTCAAAGTATCGGCTTCAGTATTCACAAACAGAAATGACTGTCCTCAGCATATAATTACTACAATAGCACTTTAATCTTTAATAAGGACATACCTTAAAATAAAAACTTTTGACTTCTCAAACTGTGAACAGGACAACTCAACTGTTTTCAGCAAAGGAATCTGCATCTGCCAGCCTGAGTCAGCTGCCAGAGTTTCTGTGTTTATTAAATAGCCAGTGTCAACCATGGACATTTTTCCTTTTTAGTGTTTTTTCAGTAGCAAAAACAATACAAATCTATACTAGTTAAATGCTCTAGCAGACACGTTTGCATTGCCTGCCCAAACCCTGCTTTCTTGTTTGAAAGGACCTCAGCTACTGACCCTGATGAAAGGATGAGCCTAGGCTGTCATGTTTGAGTCAGGTGACCCTGCCACAATCAAGACTGACAGGATAGTAGGGAGGGCGAGGGTGAGGGTGGATGTCTGACACAGGCTGAGCCAACTAGATTCTCTCTCTTCAAAATCAAAGATAAAAGACAATGCTCAGACTGTGTTAAACTTATTTGAGTGCCTTCTCTACACATAATTTATTCAGCCACATGTTAAAGAATTAAATAAAATTATTTATTTTACAAGATAAATTCTATAAATATTTGGTTTAAAAAAAGTACTCACTTGTATTCAAATACCCAATATCTAATATCTGTATCTAAAATCATAGACAAGCATCTAGATGAGTTTCTGGGTTCAATATCACCAATTTATTATGGGCTTTTAAAGAAGATTTTAGTCCAAGTTGCCTTTTAGTCACTACAAGTATGTCATAAATTTATCATTCTAGAATTTGCTTTTGTGCTTTATGGTTTGATGTTTAAAAAAAATTCACTAGATTAAATGTTAAAATGCTGACAAAGTATGATGGCAACAGAGTCCTTTGGGTAAGAGAAAAGTTAGAATCCAAAATACAAAACTATTTCAAGTTTTTTTTAAGGCTATTTTAACACTTTGGACAATAAGACACAAAAGAAAAAAAAATCTTAAACCACACTAAAAACCCATTTTTAGTTTAGTTCAATCAAAAAAATCCTGGAAAACATATAAAAGCACTCATCCAAGAACACTCTTGTCATAAAACTTTTAGTGCAAATAAGATTGGGTAAACATGGATGCTTGTAGACAGAATGGTCAAACCTCTAAATAGCTGTTAACCATGTGACTGGCAAATAGCAGAGGCTAATGAGACTGGTCTAGTTACATATTAATACATTTACAATGAACACTCTCTTCTTAAGTAAGCTGGACAATGAGACAATCTTGGTTATTTAAAGATCTTGTTTCCTTGGTATTATTTACATTTCACTGCCTACAACATAAATTCTCATATGACGCAAACATCATATGATGAAGTAGAATTTTTTTCAGGCAATTTCTAAACACATGAGAGGCTGTCAGACTGTATTATAAAGGCAGGTAGTCCAAGATTTTTTAAAATCTTCAATCTTTCATAATCATAGTAAAGTATTAGATGTTTGAAGAATGAACAAAAAACAGATTCTGTATATTGTGTGTTAATAGGACAAATTAAGTACAGTGAAACACAAGATGATTTCTGACATACAGTGACTATGATTAATCCTGGGCACAACATGGCAAGGAGAGCAAAATGATATAAGAATACATTGCAATATGCACTTTCTCCATGGTCAAAGGACTTCTATTTTATTGAACTGCAGTGGAGGACAAATATGTGTAAGCTCTTTAGCTGACTCATTGGAAAAGACCCTGATGCTGGGAAACATTGAAGGTAGGAGGAGAAGGGGACAACAGAGGATGAGATGGTTGGATGGCATCATTGACTCGATGGACATGAGTTTGAGCAAGCTCTGGGAGTTGGTGATGGATGGGGAAGCCTGGCATGCTGCAGTCCATGGGGTTGCAAGGACTTGGACACGACTAAGTGACTGAGCTGAACTGAGAGACAAACATGCAACAATATATTTTTTAGAATTGTGACTGTTACTTCATTGCTTTCCTCATATTCTAGACAAAAATTTGAATTCACTGCATTTGCCTTTTGCATTTGGGCTTCCCTAGGGGCTCAGGTGGTAAAGAATTTGCCTACACTCAAAGAGGTTCTATAGTGGGTACACTACCCAACAGACGGACACTATACTATTTTACAAACAATAAACTTAAAAAGCTTCAGCATCAAGTATCTGGTTTAGAAACCAAGATTATAGAAGCCCAAGTATTTATGTGGTAATTAGCCTTAATCATATATACATCTTGACAGTGTACTTATAATAATGTCCACCATAATTTTAAGATTTATTTTGGCAAAAAACACAATAAAAACAATGCCACACATAAACACTAGCTATTATCCTTTCAGTGTTTATAAGACATTTTTGCTGTTAGGATTTTCAATGACGAATTTGAAGGAATTAAAAGATATAAGACATGATTAAAGAAGCTGATAGGAATTACAATGAAATCTCTTCTATGGAATAGTAGTAGCTATAAAAACACAATAGCATCTGATTACTATAGCAGTCACTGGGTCAGGTGTGTTTGCACCTTAAATATTTTTGTGTATGATAAAGGAGTTGGGTTATTAGAACAATATTAACAGGTAAGGATGATGTGTGTTATCTTGTACATTTCTAAGATATGAAGACTTTCTTACAAGTCACTCTATATGATGGTACAAGAAGATGAATCACACTTTAATGAAGAATGAAGAAAAAATATCAGTTCTAAGAATAATATGGATACACGATATAGGTAAGTTACATAGGCAAATTTTCATATTCCAGAAAAATTCTTTACTAAAAGATTTAAAAATTCCTTTAAGTAACTGATGGTTCAAAATTCAGTGCAGAAATAATCTCATGTTTTCTAAATTCTAAAAGTGCACAGCAATTCTCACTTGCTGACATCACACTTCTATACACAAAGCATACTTGTATCTTACCAGACCAAGAAGGTATGCTCAGTTATATGTTGGCTTCTTTGTTTGCTATGTTAGCAAATTATAGTTAGTGTCAAAGACCTCAAAGTAAAGGCTATACCTTTAGTATATCAAAAGTCAAAAGCTTCC